TTATATTCACAAACTGAATTGTGTCTTAACTAAACATCTAAATTGACCTTTCTCAAACTCACCCAGTTTCTTCTTTTGAGTTTTATCTGTAGCTTCACCAGCATTTTCTTTGGCTTTTTCCACTGTGGAGAGAAAAGATATAATTATTGCAGAAAGGAGGCTGATTAAATTTCTGTTAGATTTTTGGCACCAGAAATTACCACAATTGCTTGACAATATGCTTGTTTGTATTGCCCAGCACACCTCATAATGCTACTGTATTGCAAAAAACAAAATGCTTTGTTTGTCTCAAACCTGTTACATGTAGATTCATTTTGTTTGGCCAGACATACGGTACTGAGTAATTGAAGATTTTCGACTATCAATGAGGGTCACGCTTTGACTTTATACCAGAATATCATCTCATATCTCCATTCAATAACTATCCATCATTTTAGTGTTACCGATACATCAAGAACCATCGGAAGCATACATGTACTCACATTTTTTACTCTGTTTTTCGACTTCTGATTTAAGTTTTTGATATTTCTCTGTTCTATAAACCAGCAGGAATGTAATACCTAGAAATGCAAACATTTACAACAGACTTATGTACAGATACGTACATTTCACAAACATTGGCAATAGGCAATTGTTTTACTACACAGACAAGCCCATCTGGACTTGTGGGACTGAAAATACACAAAAGTAAAAAAAATTACATTCAATATATTGGTATTCGATATACAAGGATATTTTTAGAAAATGAAATAAAAATGTTGGGTCATCGTACTCATTTCAGAAAAATTGATCAATAGAATACAGTGAAAATAGCATGTTTTAGGGCAGGAATATATCTCAATATTTTGCTCGAAGACAAATAGTTTGGTCATAACGAGGAAACATGTTTTCATTTATGGGATTCACTGCTTTGTATACATGGCATTTTATATGTGTTAATTTATCATTTTTTCTCAAACAACAGATGGACAGTGACCCAAAAAAGTCCAAAAATAGCATATTAGTTCTGCCATAGGAACCTATGGTAAAAGCATTATAATACAGTCAAAATGGCTATTATCCACTAAAATACAAGCCTAATTTTTAGCTCCGCTGTTGACTTTGTCGAGCGGAA